ATCACTTTGTCTTGCTGTTTTCAACATTCCATGCCTAATGCTCCTTCGTTAATAAATTGAAAGCTAGCAAATATGAATGAGTAAGGGAGAAGTAAAAGAACAAAACGACACTTTCATATTGAGAAAGGAAGTGTCAGACGTAATTCATGTAGGTGCGCTAGGGAGGACTTACATGAAGAAACTATAGCATCAACCGATAGGGAAGGCAACACAGTGATTTAAAGTTGAAGAAAGGATTCGAGGATTGAATAGAAGACTTCAAGCGACGAAAGAAGTTAAGTATTCATACCGTATACGCAATAACATCTGACTTGCTTATGCCCTAAAAGAGAAAACTAAGATGTGAAGAACGATTGTTAAGTTGAAGCACATAAGCAGAATGTATAGTTCTAGGTTCGGTATTATTCTAGATGAGTTAGACGGTTTTGGCCATCATGAAGTATGAAGAGTATAAGAAGCGATCTTAGTTGTTTGGGTTGTATCAATTAGAAAAGCTTTTGACACGAAATTGGCATGGTTAGCTCATCTTATAGAATCACGGAGTGCCCCCCAGATGCTGTTGCCCCTTTTGCTTACCATTAGCGCATCAACAGAGTGTGGTAATGATTAATTCGCTTGGCAGTGTGGCCCGCACTTCATCTCTTTCGGCACGAGAAACACTGGAGAACTAAATGTTCTAATTCTAGTCCTATGCACGACATCAGCCAGGCTAAGCAGGCCTGAAGACTAGCCTTCTTATTCTTTGAAGATGGAGAAGAGAATGCGTCAACAGTGTGACACAGGATGTTGAGGAGTTTGACGGCTGTCGGACTTGCAATAGGTGCAGAGAAGCGAAAAGACAATTCTGCGGGAAGAACAGGAATGAGTATGATCAAGCGCTGAGAGAGAGAGGAGAGCAAAGGGAGGGAATCGTGCGAAGAATGCGGACACAGAACAAAGCACGAAAACTGGGAGGCGCATTTTCATTATTGCATAACTTTTTCAACATTTCTGGCAATTTAGGAAAAGAAGCTAAGCTAACCAACAAATCGAAATCAACGCAGAATACGAGAAACCACAAAGAGGGAAATTCGCAAGCCATCAACTAAACAGTTCTCTGATAAATTTGCCGATGAAGAACCGCAACCACAACCCGAACCCCAGAAACCTATACCCAATAGTGATTCTATAGTGACAAAGTGTTCAAACACGTTCATCAGTTGCTACCGAATGGCGAGTTGTTAGAAGACAATTTGATACAATTTGGTAAGTACGAGGATAGAATAATTCTTGAGATTCCTACTGACAAGTCATAAGTGTCACGTAGTTACATACCTCAAGTTGCCACAGATTATAACTATGTAGTGGTTGTTACCTAATCCCTAAACAATATACTTGTTACAGCTTTTTTTGAAGAAGACCAATTTTTATTGTTTCAGGTAAAAGAGCGCGGGTTGGATGTTATGGGGTCTCGAAGTGATGGGTCATTCTATGGGTTCGAGTATGTTCTGTTCTATGGGGTTTGCCCATGGTTTTCATCCTATGATTTCTTTCAATGGGGTCATCCTATGGGTTTAACCTATGGGTGTAGGGATGTTTCAATTTGGGTCTAAGGGGGTCGAATGGTTAGAAAATGGAAATAATCACAGTTATGTTCAGCTTTAGGATTTGGGGTTTAGGAGGGGGAGGTTTGGTGTAGGGTGGCATTTAGGGAACTAAGGGAGGAATTTAGGGTTGAAAGGTTTAGGAGGTTTAGAATTTTCAGGGAGCTTATGCGTTTAGCCGATCATTGTTTGAATCGTTGAGAATGATTGCAAGTTATCTGGAGCTTACAGGTGCTTCAGTATGATTTGAGCAAGTTTCATGATTCGCGCTGCGTAAGTAATCCCTTTCAAGAACTCCTTCCGCATATACTCCGCTTGAGATCTCCACAGGGGTTGTACACGTCTCGGCCCAGGTACTCTTCGGAGCATTTTTGAAGAAGCTCAAGCAAGAGGTGAAGGCCTCCGGGAAGCATTGTTTACCAGTCTAAGTCCTTGCCAAAACCCCAATAGAATCCCCATCTATCCCTTATATAAACCCTATAATCCCTACAGTTTCCATTTTTTCCATTATCCCTAAACCCTAAACCCCATAGATCCTGGGATGTCCACAGACCTTTGCAAGGTGGCCCAGCTCTCCGGCTTTGTAGCAGAGAAGAGTGCGTGCGACGCTATTTTGGGACTGGGCTGATGGCGGGTTAAGAGGGGAGCACAGAAATTGACAATGTAAGGATTAAGGTTTAGGGTTTAGGGTTGGATATTCCCTTGTATTAGTCCCTAATACAAGGGAATATCCAGGAGTTGGGATCCATCACTCTACTCACTACTAAGAACACTCGACTTGGATCCCTCCCTTTCCCTTGCTCTGTCATGGCATCCCAGGTACCACCATGGCGAAACCTCCTTACAGGGCACCATCATCGGCATGGTGCCTTTCCTCAGCGCTGGCAAGAGTTGATACTTTATCTGTCCCGTGCTTGCAGGAGCTGATCTTACTACAAGTATCCCCGAAAGCATGCTTGCATACTGTTTGCATCTGTGCGCTGCACTTTGGCTCCAGCTGTTCTCTCTTGCTGAAGTCAGCCCATTCTGTCGAAAGTTCTTGGATCCGCTTGCGGAGCTTGCGGACATTCGGGTCATGACGCTGGAGACGCTCGAGACCTCTCCACAGTGCGCTTGGCAGTTTACCCGAAGTTTCAGCTGCATTGTTCCAGCATGGGGGTCACTTTTTTTTTGTTAGCAGTTCTTGTCCTTCTGTGACCGTTGTTTCCCCGTGCAAGCACAATGCTTACTTGACTACTGTCCCTCTAAAAGCCCCAAACTCTAAAGCCCGAAAACCCTAGTTTCTCTAAAGTTGTCTAGCGCCAGGTATGTCAACCCCACGATCCAGAAGCCTGGCAGGGTTCCTATCCGGCTGGCACCCCGTCTCGCAGGCCGGAATAAAGTCAGAGAACACCTGGGAGTTTCCCAAAATACGGGGATCCTAATATAAACCCCCAAATGCTGACAGTCCTTACCATGGGGACCCCCAGAAAGGTACTCTTAATTTTGGGAAAGTCTCAACTGTTGCTCGTCATCACAAGAAATCCCCATTCCTTGGGTGTCGCTCTTTGGGCGTTCTGTTTTGTGAAGCCCACCCCGGTGAAGGCATTAAAGCATTTCTTTTCCAGAAATAATGTGGCAATGTGTTGGTTGTTGCGAGGATCTTAGCGCACTCTGCGACCCAGTGATTACAAACGTGTGGTTTATTTGCTCTTGGCTTCTATTCCTCAGCCCCCGATTGCAGGCGATAATTGCCAGCGGCCCATGATGCCAGCCATTGACATCGGCCTGGAACCCATTCTCTGGGATCCAGGGTCAGGCCTTCCTTACACATCGTGGTAGGCATGCGAATCCATGGCAGGCGAACCCAGCATGGTGGGGGTTAAAACAGACAACAAGCTAGTTTCTGGGCATCTCCAGTGGCTCCACTCTTGCACTGCTTCTGGCATCCAAGGCCTTTTTGGACCGCCACCCGGCCTGGACTCTTGCTTGGCGCCAGATGACTTCTTGATACATGCCTCCTTCAGCAGCTAGCTCAGCAAGCGCGTGCTTGAGGTTTCGCACCCCTCTGACTCCTCAATATCTTGAGGAAACAACCGTTGAGGGTATTAGTAGCCGACGGGTCATGTGAGTCATGTTGAATATGTGTATATCATTTTCGCAATTATCACCAACCATGCCGGTCCTGTCAAACCTGATCCCAGGCAACGCCTGCATTTCGCAGGATCCAGGAGCTGCCTGGACAAGCATCGTTGAGTGCAATGCTGCGTTAGCTCCTCAGGTTCTGTGGGTCTACTGTGGAAGGGGAATCATTCAACAACCCTCAGCCCTGAACCCTAAACCGAGAATCCGTGCCGTAGGGACCGAAAGAAATGACCTTACAATCACCATGTATCCCTGATGACAGCCCTATTCTAGCAAACTCCCCTAAACCCTAAGTCCTAAACCCTAAATCCCTATTCTAGGAAACTCCCATTTCCCGCTTGTTGATGTTGCGGCAGCTGATGCCGTCCATCCATGTCTGACTGCTACTTGTAGGGAATGAAGAATGCTGCCCCAATAATGGAGAATCGCGTGTAAAAGAACATGGAAAGTTGCATGCAGGCCCCAGGTTCCTTTCAAGGGGTTATACATAGAGGATATAGTGCCCAATAATGGAGAAGCAAATGGGCAAGAACGTGGAAAATTACGTGGACATTGGGGGTACCCCAAACCTCTAAACGCCGAAGGAGCCCAGCTCGCTCATCGGATGTTAGACACGGTTGTTGAATATATTGGGATAATGGAAAATAAAATGGAAACTACTATAATGGGTTACATAGGGTATATAAGATTTGGTTTATATGGGGATAATGGAAAAGAAAATGGAACTACCATAGTATATTGGGGTTTATATGGGGATAATGGAAAAGAAAATGGAAACTACTATAGTATATTGGGGTTTATATGGGGATAATGGAGAAGAACATGGAAACTACTATAGTATTATATGTCCCAGAGCACAGGAAGCCGCACTCGAATACTGATGCTGGAAGCAGATGTTTTCTTTCTTTTTTTTCCAGTTGGGGATTTCCCAAAGTAAGGGGTCACTTTGGGGGGTCCCCAGAATAAGGCCTATAGTATACTGGGGTCTATATTGGGGTCCCTTATTTCTGCAAACTACAAGGCACCCATGAAAGCTGATGCAGAAAAGGAAGCCTCCTTTTTTTGGAAACCCCACACCTCCAGACATACCTTTATTTTACACCCTTAGTTAGTGGAGCCCTTGACAAGGTGCCGAGGCAACCATCCAAAGTGCCCTTCCTTGCCCTTCAACTTTGCAGCGGAGTTCTTGTGCAGAGGGGAGAAGGATGCTGGGAGCTCAGATGGCATCACCCCTCCCTAACCTTTAGACCCCACCCCCCTTTCATGATAAGGGTAAGCAAGGGATCCCGAAAACATATGGGACATATTAGGGTGTAGAAGGGTCCCAGTTCAGAACCATGTAGGGGACGGTGTAGAAAGACTTCCAGAGGTTGCACGGTACGCTCTGATGGGCCCTTGTTCAATTCCTTCGATTGGCTCTATGCTGGGATGTTTTCGTTCATTCACTTCAAAATATGAGCTATAGTCTAGACCCCTCAAAGGGGTCTTATATTATAGGGGAGAAAAAGGGGACTACTTTACTATAGGGGTTTTTAAGGGGGATACCTTGAGTTTAGACTATGGCTCACATGGTGCAGTTTGAGCGTTGTGCATAAGGCTTTGGTCGTAGCTCATGCAAGGCCCTGAACAGTGATAATAGCAGCCTCATCATGTGACACTGGATTCCAAGCTGCAGGTGTAACATGCTCGAGATTTCCTAGTGATACCATTTCTCAGAATAGGGGTTGTATTTCTGGAAGAAGATCTAGACCCGGGTCATGCATGCTCCTTATCAAAAAAGCTTGCTGTTGCTGAGAGTATGTGTAATCTACGCTGTGTAATGTAAGATTCTAATGCCGACTATATAGGACCTTATGTGCATACCATAGTCATAGTCCTTATTCCCCTAATTTGTGGAAACCCTAAGCCCTATTATACCGTAACAATCATAGTCCTTATTGCGCTAATTTGTTGAAACCCTAAGCCCTACTATATCATATAACCCCTAAAATATACACAATGGTGCCAGCCAGGACCCTGGCAAGCTTTCCTCTCCAAGCTCAACATCTGGGGATGCCCCACACTTATGTGGAGGTTTCTGGAAATTAGGGGTCCCTTTCTCGGGGTCCCTAGCTGTAAGGATTTCATTGTTTTGGGGTCTAGATTGGGGCCCCCCATTAATGGAAACTACCATGTCGCAAAGGAGTTTCCTTTCGAGTTGTCAGGGATCTTGGCTTGTCAGTGCAGAATTCAGCATTTCGTGGAGGTTGGGTCTCGGGGTGCAGAGTGTGTTGTGGGGCGTGCTGCTTGAAAACTTCCATTCCCAGTCTAAACTTGCAGGCGTTTTTGGGGGCTCATCATGATGCCTACTTCTTAGCCTGGACCGTAGGACAAGGTGCGCAGGCCTCTAGCTTGGCCCCCTTCTGCCTTCGCTAGCCATTTAACTTGAAATAGAAAGTGGCAAGACATGCTGGTGTTTTGCTGTCCAGGCATCTGAAGATTTGAGTTATGGATTTCCAGAGAGGCCCATATTTCTATCACCAGGTCCCACGGACTTCATCTTTGCGAATATAATCCTCAACCACCCCAAGCCCCCAATTCCAAATCCCAAAGCCTGAGCCAAAACCTCAATATCTGGAACGGAAAGGGCTCTTCAAGGTTTAGGTTAGGCTAGGGTTTGCGGCTTGTATAAGGGATTTCTCAGGGTTGTGTACAGATAAATTGTCCCACAACGGAAATCCAGCGGAAAAGGACATGAAACATGAAAAACAACTGCGGTATTATTCAGGTTTAGACTTTGTGGGTTTGTGGACGCGGGTTGAAAGTTTAGGTTTAGATGTGTGGGCAGTTGAAGTTTAGATTTAGGATCATTATAACATGGTAATGATCCCAACAAAGGCCTATATGATCCCAGTTTCCATTTCTTCTTCCGTTTTCTTTTCCATTTCATTATCCACTTCCCTTTCCATCTGATTTTCCATTATTGAGAGCCTTTACTAGGCGCTTATACACCTGTATATTCGCAACATAACCCGGATGAAATCCCTATATAATCCCTAGATCACCACTCTACATTCCCTATACAACCCCAATGTTCCCTAGAATCCCGATAGTTTGCATTTGATTTTCCACTATCCCCATAAAAAACCCCCTATATTCCCTGCATAACCCCTGTATACCCTAAACCCTAAACCTTTTATATTCCCCATCTCGCCCCTATACCACCCCCTTATGGTTTAGGCATCCTTTCGTGCCCAGGGTCCCTGGGCGTGGGACTGGCCCAAAGGCCCGCCGATCAGGGCTTCGTGCAGATGAGAGTTCTATTTGAGCTATAGTCTGAACTTTCTAAAGGGGGTTATATAGGGGATTGCGCAGGGTTTAGAAATTAGGGTCTAAATTCCTTAAATGGGGGTTACATAGGGGATTCTCTAAGGTTCCTATTATAGGGCCTATTAAGGGGAATACTAGGAGTTTTGACTTTGGCTCATCGGAAGCATGGGGTTTCTACGGATACAAAAAAGGGATTATAGAGGGACGGTTTGGGGATTACATAGGGATTATTTTGGGGATTATGTAATCACATTATCCCTTGTTATGCAAGCGCTCTTGATAAATGCTGTGTATTTATGTATGCTGCCGGCTGTAATTATTTGGCATGATGCATTCATTCCTGTACGTTAGCTCGGTTGTGATCCAAGTCATTTACGTTCTGGCGTCGCATTTGTATCTGGGATTTGGGTCGATGTAATCACAAGAAATACT